CCTCTGATCGTACGACTCCAGTTTGATTTGTCAAAGACATTTAAAGACTAGTAGGCAGCCTCCCTGACCAACAACCAACCACAGATGACTTTACTCACAAGTCACAACTAACTCCCAACCATATGCAAGGTCTGGTTGGCTATGTGTGACAGGGGCTTTCAACAACTGTAACACATCTTTTACTTGCACCTGTATGCATATGATACCGGTACAAATGTGGTAAATCAACATTTAAATCTGCGTTGAGCAGACAAGTTTGTTGTTTGTACAACCTGATCCAGACAGAACCTGAACAATTTACTCCCTGGCCAAGGAAAAATGCCTTTCCATAATGCATGACCATAAAATATCATTAGCATGTACTATGAAGTAGCTGCTGACATTCCTCCTATACATTCTCATGGCAACCTACTATATCCTGGACAAAACTCTAGTATAGGGTGTGCAGTCAACAGTACCATAACCTTGTTACAAGGTACCCTAGATAACCATGGAAATTTGAGTCATTTTGGCATCACTGTTATGGAGAACAGTCCGTGTTATCTGAAAAAAATGTATTTAGCAACTGATATCCATGTGTGTCACTTACTTCTTGTTGTGTCTTATATATTATGAACCCAATTAAATCATCAAATAATAGTCCTAGTAGATACAAATTCATGTGTACATACTAGTATGCTAGCTAACAATATCCCTTCCAAATGAGACTTCAGGCTCTTCTAGAGCTTAGTAAAAGGTTTAAACTTTAAGAATACAACTGAGTAAGGATTAAATTTGAGATGACTCTAAATGTGAGATTAGATTCTAAACTCAGACCAACATCTTAAACTTGACCAAGTCTTTTGAAAGATATCTGGCATTTCTTTTCAAAGATCAATTCACATCTTTTCAATTTCAGAGATTATTGTGAATTTTCCATGCCTTGACAGTTGACACAGTAGGGGCTTTTCTATCGCTCACTATTCTCATTATGCCTCTCTTGGACAGTGTCCTATTCAAATAGGCAAAGGGATTAGAGGAGCATCATGTACCACCAGATATTACCATTTTGATTTTGTCTGCAACTGAGCCTTTTACTTTACTAGCCTAAGTTTTAATACCTCCTAGGATAGTGCAGGTGATTTGGCCATGGTCACCACTGAAGTAAGCTCACCATACCTCATTAAAGGTAAAGGATGATGACAATGACATTATGAATGGTTGTTTTTCTCAGCTGCAGTACATGAAAACATATGTTTATTGTAATTGTATTCTTATTGTACTCTAGTACTTAACTACTTATCCTTTTGTTTGGTTTCTAGACTACAGACAAAAGGAACAAGAATGGTGTGAAGTGATATTATAGCTCTTGATGTTCATGGCAAAGGTAGCTGGTACACTGTACAGAGAAAATTAACTGAATTTTCAGTTATGGTGGTTTTGGTCCTTTACCCCTCAGTTTTGTTTGTTTCAGATAACCAATAAACTGTCTTTAGACATACCTCACCAGCTTTGTAGTAATTGTACAGTAAAACAAGCTGTGTAAAACTAGACTGTAAGGTGTCATTCAATCATACTGGTATGGACCACTACTTTTTTTAAATGTACCGTGAGATAATGTGCTTGAGAGCCACATGGGAGTGTGATGGGACCCATAGTTTTATATCCCATATTAGAGGATGTCTCTACTCCAAGCAAGGACGTCATGAATCCCCTTGCTCCAAGCTAGGTTACTAGGTACTTGAGTGAGGAAATAGGTGTTTTTCCCAATGGTACAACATTGGGATTCACACCCAGAACCTTTAGTATTAGTCAACAACCCTAACAAGTCTACCTTGCCACCTAGACCACCTTGCCATCTGGTCTTGTTCTTGTCTTGTTTAGGTACTGCACAACACCCCTAAATTGGGGTTAAGCGTGCAGGGGAGCATCTCAGAGCACTACAAGGGAAGGGATGGATATTTTGTTCTAATCGTCCTTGACACTGAGAGTTCAAAATCTGGGTTGAAGCTTCATGCTTTTTATCAATAAACATTAGACCACATCAATTAGTATCATATACGGAAATACATTTTACAGGTAATCTCTTAAGTAGAGATGACAACAAAATAAACCGTCCGTGGTACGAAACGTGTTACCCTTTCCTCCATGTCGGACAACAGTCAAATTAACGTTATGTGTGCAACACGAGATGGTCTGTCTGGACAACATTAGACATCCATGTGTGTGGTCGTCTAGCGCGTCAATGTTCGCAGGGTGTGGACTGAAGGGCAGAGGGGGCAAGAGAGGTGACTGGAAAAGAACAATCCTGCAAACTTGAGATGATCAAGAAAGGCAGATCATTGGTACATGTAGGGGCATGCCTTAGGATAGCGTTAGATTCACCTAACAGGCGTCAAAAGCCTGTGACTCTTGTCACGTCAACTGGAACGTTTGAGAAGCGCGAACAACACAGAGCCTTTGCACGATTCGGACAAAGAAAACTGGCTAAATGCTGGGCTGAACACGTTGCCTGGATTCTGGGGGAGTGGGAAGATTCTGAGGAATTGGCAGATATCTCGATATTAAAATCTGGTGGCCGTGTTGAAAAACAGACTGTAACAACCGGCGTGCGGTGGATGCCATTCACATCTGAGTGACTACTCTCCCGTCGTGAAGGCTTGACACTTCACCACAGAAAACATACACAGTGCGGTATAAAAAGGGTTTGCTAGACAGACACAAGGATGTTGTGTGGCTTACCGTTGAAGCCATGAGGCTACTGTAGCCGCACGCACAGCACCTCGCTGAGCTGCGCCTTTGCACTTCACCACACGAAGATGGCGGACATTGTTCAAATCTGGCCCGTCCCAGCATGCACCGCGGGACCTGACCACACACAGACGTCATCACCGAGTCTCCCGGCAATCCTGCACGTGGGGGTCAGGGCAGGCATGACGACTGGGACTACTCAGCTCCCCAACCAAATGTGTGCCTGTGCTGAGCTGTGCGTCTTTTTGTGTGGAACGCGTAACCGGCAACGCTTAACGGTAAATTCAGGAATTAACTTGTTAAGGCCGACAACGTAGATTGACGCGCATCCCGAAATTATACACCACCCTAGACTCACCGGCAGTCATGACAATTTTGATATAAGTTACGTAACGCTATAGACTGCGAACACTGTCCGGACCCTTCGCGTTGTGGCTTTTGCCTGGCGTTCGAGCTACGCGATTTATTTCCAAGTATTTACCATTCTGATAAACCACGATACCCACGAAGCTGACTTCTGTAAATTTGTTTGGTGTGAATGTCAATCAGTACCAAGGAAAGGGACATCGGGTGTTGGCGTGAATGTCAGTCCACAAAACACAACTGAGGGGGAAGTGATGAAGAGAAGAGTCATACAAACTGCATGTTCAGCTGTCAACTCAGGCTTGCATGATCTGTTGCCTTTTTACACATCTCAAAAGCTGTCAACACTAACAGGTATAGTTTTTTTAAAAAACTATAACGTTACCTGTTAGTGATGACAGCTTACAACACACTGCCTTTCATATGAAATTTAGACCATTATCTCACAATAATTTGAGTTTTACAAGACCTTACAAGGCAAAATCAGCCAAGCTCCAACAAAAAGGGGATGGGACTGTATTTCTGGGACTAGGCAGCTAACAATCCTTAATTTGCATCTTTGACGTCATTAAATTAGGCATGGCTAGCCTCGCATCATGCTTTTGGTAATCATGTTCAGATGCTCCAATGCTTCTTTCCCACAGTTACCCAACACTTTTGGAGGCATGAAAATTTTCTACATGTAAAGCCAAGGAGGTTTAACTTAAGTCTTAAGGATTAATAATACGCATAGTGCTGGGGTAATCAAGGATGTTTAATACCTTTGGACATTTTTACATTGTACCACACATACATGTACTACCTTTTGAATTTATTCCTTACATGGTACAGGATATGTGTAGAACACATCATCATGACTAATTTGTAAACTAAGTTAATAAAACTGAGTACTCTGTATTCTGCCAATGAAAACAGTTTATTTGCACGGCGTCCTTGTCCACAGTTTGTAGTAGCTGAGCGCATGTGAACTCAGCCATACATGTACATCTCAATGCCTTTCTTTCAGTCTCAGATTTGACCAGGAATATGACTTCACATTTCAGCAAGAAGGTTATAGTGAAAAGTAAACATGCTGTCTCTCCAAATAAATCAGCAAAGGAGGAATAAATAATGGTTTTGGAATGGGAAGCAACATTGTTGCTGTCGTGTGACATCATATTGTGTGACATGCTCCAATGTTGTGACCTTTGAATCAAACTTTACAGTCTTGTATTATAAAACTTACGAATGGTGCTTGCAGCCCTCTGGCTTTTTAGCACATACAAATGTATTAATGAAGAAGAAGGTTGCCAGTACTGCTACATTTCTTGTTCCTCGATTCAAAGCTGTTCAACTATCTACTCCTTTGTATATTGACTTGAGGAAAAGGGACATTACAGTCACATAGATATTACTGACTAGAATGTACAATGTACATAACCAAGTACAAAGTCTTCCCTTCTTACAGTACAAAAACAAGTACCACATAGTGCAAATTCATCAGCAGTTTATGACTAAAAAAAAAGGCCAATACTGCTGTTGTTATAAAGTTGCATGTTATAGAGTCCATTCCGCGTCACCGGGTGGGTTTTTTCTCCATGTTTGCAATACTTTTGAATTATGTAGAAGAAAAGAATACCCCGGTAACAAAAGTTCTAAGTTTTTTCAAAAATTTGAAAATGAAAATTTGAATATATTTGAATTCATTTAGATAATTATGAAACATTTTGAAAGTGGCTGTACAAAGATCTCTTTATTTAGAATAAATTTGAACTACCCATGTGTTTCTTTCACTATTCGAAATATTTAGAACTATTTTAAACAAATGACCAAATGGTAGATGTGGGTTATTGCCCCATAAAAGTAGGTGCTAATCCAACTCTTCTGTCTTGTTCTGTATATTTTTAGATTTCACTGCTGGACACTGGTGGCTCTTTTGTTGTAAGGCATCAATGCCTGACGCCCAGACAGTCTACCCTGTACTTCACAGGGATGTGTGAATTACTTCCTTCCCATCCCACTGACCTATTTACAAAATGTTAGAAATAATTGTAAATAATGGTAAAAAATGGTAGAGTGCTGTTAGAAATATTTAGAAACTATTGGAAATGTCATATTCCACATCAGGAATATTTCAAACATTTAACAAAAACTAGGGAATTATTTAGAATGTTGAAAAGGTATTCAAAATATTTCCAAATTATAAAATTTCTTAGACAAACAATTACAAAGAATTCAAAACATTTCTAAATAATGACAATAACAACCCACACGGTGACGCGGAATTGACTCTACTAAGTTTTGTGTGTATGCACGTTATACAGCAACAATAAAGAGGAAAGTAAGATTTTACAACAATACCAGGATCAGCAGGCAGGGTACTGGAAACTTTCAATGTTTCACTTAATCTTTGGACATTGTCCAGCAAAAAGAGTAAACACTGTACATATATGATACATCTGGCCTTTGTAGCATATCATTTTTAAGGATCATGATGGCACAGACAATTCTATATTCATAATAATAATTACATATCATCGATACAGTATTCTGCAGTAATAACATTTGCAAATATGTAAATCTTCAACAATCAAGACATTGGGACACAGCATTCATGACGAGTCGTCACTTTCTCCAGTACTGTAAGAAAGAACACAAACATTATCAGTCTTCCCATCTGGCAATATTGAGATATATCATATATTATTGTAGCCATTTACCAAACATGATCTATTACATAATGTATTTACAATTAAAAAGCATAAATCACTGCTACCAGTATCATTATGAAATAAGTGTTATGAATGATTGATTGCTTAAAAAATTGCTTCAGGTTCCTAAATTCTTACTAACATACGCTTAATTCGTACTAACATACCTGTGCAAACTTGTGAAACTGTTCTACCACCACAGCAAACAGGGCTCCAACACTCTCATCTATCAGGGTCTGCATGTAGTGGACTGCTTCCTCATCATTCAGGTCCAGCCTGAACTTGTCCTGTACCTAAAGGCAACACAGCAAGGGTGAAGATAGAGTCATCGCCTTCAAGTTAGAACACAAAGACATCCACAAGGAACATGATGAAGTGGAAAGGAAGTCCTTACTTTTTTTACTGTCTTGTCCGGCTCCAGGGCAATGTCAGGCACATTAGCATCCACCATGAGAGAGAATAAGTTCAGGATCAGGTTGGCAGATCTATTGGGGAACAAACTGTCTGTCATCCTTTGACATCCTTATCATCATAATACACAAAATGTTATTCACTGCTAGCTGCACTATACAAATTGCTAACCATACTTGGCACGCTTGTTCATCCTGATTAAAAATCAAAGTAAATCATTGAATAACATGCATGAATACCCTGTACATCCCCACCTTCTGAGATGAAGGAAAGCCGTGTAACACAGCCTCCTAAACTCCTGATACTGGTCACTGCTCTGTCCACCCATGGCTTCCACCATCTCCTTACACAGCTTCATGGGAGGAGGCAAAGGTTTGGGGTCTCGTCCCAGGATGTAGCCAAAGTCCACATGGAGAAGTTTTCCTACCCAAAAACAATAACCATCAGTACATACCATCCTTCCACTTACATACATGTAGTTTACATGAAATCATATATGCATTGCATTGTCTTATTCATCAATGCATCAACTTTGGAACAGTCTTCCAAGGGAGATCGCTAAGATCAGGGACAGACAAAGATTCAAACGTGAAGTTAATTCTTTCCTCAGCGCAAAACTCTGACAGCGTTCTGTCTAGGCAGTTCTGCTGCTAATGCTGAGTGAGAGCTGACATAGATTTAAAAAAATAAGAAAAAAAATGCTGGCACACATGGCTTTTTTTATTGATGCAAAATATGTTATGAAAGTGTGGACATGCCAGAAACAGTACATTTGTTTTGATACACATATACAGTCTTACCACTCTTGGACAGAAGCAGGTTGTCCAGATGTCTGTCTCCTACACCCAGTAGATAGGTGATCACACAGTAGCCAGCTGCACAATAACAAGGAGGGGATAACTGTTATGTTTCAATAAAAAGAAATTTACAAAAAAAACTTTTGCGAACAAAATACTTGTGCCCAATTATGGCTATCACTTCACTACACAAATTGCCACACTGGGAAATATACTTTACCACAGCTCTTGACATATGTGTCCATGACCTCCTGACTTATCCCATAAGGGCCTTTTTCACTTGGACTGTGTTTGCGAAGGTAGTTCAAAATGGTGCCTTCACTCGCAAGAATCTCTGCCACAGGTATGGCATCCACAAGCTGCACAAAACCTGCAGAACAGAGAAGGTGGTAGCAACAACATTTACACAGAATCTTTGTGGAAGATCACATGGCATAATGACAAAAGCACAAGGTTGCTCAGCATCACATCTATATAGCAAAATGACAACTCTTATCAGAAGAAAACTCTACATTTGAGTGACATCTAAAAAAAATTCGAACTCAGCAGTATTGAACCCATTCTGCATAATCAAGAAGTGAAATACGAAACACAAGTATATGATAACACTGCACTGATCAACTACCAAATCATTGACTTGTTGTAACAACACTCTAGTCCATACATGTAGAACTGACCATGTTTGCTAGCTGTTGCCAAGGTCTTGTATGGACTGAGTTTTAGATCCAGGTTCTCCTTTCTCAACAGCTTATCCATCAGGGTGATGATCTGCAGGATTAGCTGGTCCTGCCGTAGGTCATCTCCGTACTTGAACATGGCTACGTACTCCTTGCTCTGGGTGGTGACGAAGGTCAACTTGCTTGGCATAAGGGCACTCTTGAACAGTGTTGCCTTTTCCACCACGATGCCCTTGATTTGAACTTCAGGGTCCAGAGGCATGGGAATGGGGTCAAATGTCGTAAAGTTGATCTTGTTCACCTCAGGGTCAGCTAAAAGAGCCTGAAGTTTTTCTACCTACAAATCAATGTTGTAAAAAATAGTTAGAGTTTTGCTGAACACTGATCATTCTCCAAAAAATAAACAGGACTGAAATCACCAAATAACCAAATACTGATAGTCAAATATTCAGCACTTGAAAGTAAATGGACTTTCCCAAAAATTTGACAAGAATTTTATCAATGACAACTATATATATATATATATAAATGATTGGTCTTCCAATGTGACATGATACTAGTTTTACTTCAAAGGTATCACTTTGCACTGCCTTGTCTCTTGTCAGAAGGCTGCAAAACCTACAAGGAACTACAATCTCACTCACTACACTACGGGTGGCCAGAAATACAATTTTAATATTGATTTCACATCTAAGTCGGTTTGTTGAGGGGGATACCAAATCTACAACATACCTTTTTCTTCCTGTTTCCCCCCTCCCTCTGCACCACCTTTATCAACATGACCAGTCGGTCCACAAATGTCTGCTGGGCTGCCAGCAGGGAGCGTCTTTTTCTACACTCTCCTCCTCCCTGCAGAAAATGTTACAAAATCACATTTTACTTATCAGATGTGTTGCTACTCACCTCAAGTAAAGTGGTTCAAGAGAAAGGTGATGTATAAATCTAGAAAGTACCAAACGTACATTTTGCACATTTAATAAAGCACCATCTGTGTATAATACAATGGGTATAGGTTGGACCTTGAGCAGAGCCTGGCTGAATCGTTTCATGACATTGATGTACATCTCTGTGACTTTCTGGTCTCTGTTGACATTGTCCTGATCCTCGCATTCCACAAACAAGTACCTGCAAATACAGAACAACCATCAGATAAGTCACAGACGTAGCTTAACATTCTTTGTAAGCTTTGTATCGTTTTGCAATACTTTTTTTTGCAACATACGACATATACTTGATCGTTTTGTATGATTTACAGTATGGACGAAAACTTTTTTGGGGAAATGGATGAAACTTCATGCGCGCACGGATGTCATCCATATAATCATATCAACATGGCCTAACCTCAATCCTAACCCTAACAGGAGGAGTTAAGGTTAGAGGAGAAATGTCCTGATACTGACTGAAGTTCTGTTGCTTTCATAAGTAGGATTTGTCATTATCTGGACTCATAAAAACAGAGCATTTTCATAATAAACATGTAAAGGTGCTGCTGTGAGCAGCTCCTAAAAAGTGTCTTACAATTTACAAGTAGACAAGACAACACCAATACAATTTGCACTCACCAATACAAGTAGTTGGCTAATATGGCATTTTTACAGGCCCGCTGAATCAGGAATGTTGCAAGATCACACTGAAATCATAGCAAAAACAGTCTGAATAAAAATTCTGTTTTCTAAACCAGTTACTAAGTTCTTTCCAAAGCAATAATAAGCACATGGATATGATTTCTATTATATAACAACTAAGTCTACAGGTGGATATTTATGTGTGGTAAAAATTAAAACCATGAAGAATTAATATATATATTAAGACATAGAAAATTATTTCATGAGTTCTATCATCATAATATTGGCTATGGTGAGAATCAAGGACTGCAGCAGTCAGACACATATAACTTGTTATAAGAAAGTTTGACCTCAAAAGGACATTCAGAGACTGACCTCATCATGTGTGACAGGAACTGATTCTTCAGGTTTTGTGGATGGAATGTCACTCTGAAGTGGATGGAAGCCGTCTTGAGAAATCACATTCACTGTCCCACTGACCATACTGCATAGAGGAAGAATCCTCAGATGAGGCATTTAGGGATGTATTCTACAACCCTAATATCATTAGAGTTGGCTTTTTCTAACACAGTGGCAAACTGTTGTATGAGATGATGGATTAAACGGCTTGTATCAAATTTTGATTAGCTTATGGCGTGTATCAAACTTTGTTCTGTAAGTCAACCTGACCCCAAATTCTATCATGTTGGTTTACTAAGCAGCTTCCATTGATTGATTGATTGAGTCAATAATTCCCATCTCTGTGTACTTATGGAAAATGTTCTAACACAACATTGAAGGAATTATATAACAGGTACATCTATGTGTTGGAAGCTGAGTAAAGGAACAGTGTTTCCATAGCTTAGAGCTTGTAGCTTGACCTACCTGTCAGCATGTGAGCCATCACTGGATGAGACTGTGTCATGTCTGGTTTTGTCAGTGTCTAGTCCTCGCTTAATCTCATTGAAGTCTTCGTATTTCAGGGCTTGCACCAATTGTAGAAGATACAGCAACAGATCCTAACAATAGTACATAATCATATAACATATTGGTATAAATATGGCATATTACACACAAGAAAGATTTTAGCTTATTAAAAGGACAAAAAAGACGAAATATACAAAACACAAAAAGAATTGCTTTTGTTTTGAAATTTGTTGAGCGATCTATCAAATATTTGGTTGCTAAGAAGTTGCAGGCTTTTTTGGAGTGGGTGTGTAAGGAAACTTGCTGTTGTTCCATACACCACAAGGCTTGAGATAAGAATGTACAAACCTCATCCTCAGCCTGCTGCAGCCTGGAGACGGCATATCTCCTGACCATCAGGTTACCAAACTGTGGGGACAGCAGTTCCAGGGCATCATCTACATCAATAGGCTGCCATTTGTACAGCAGCTCCAGAGCCTGCTTTGCTTCCTGTGGCAGGGTCCAGTTTACACACTTCAAGAACTTTGTCAGGGCCTGAAAGGATGGCAAACATAAATCTCACTTAGTCTCGGCTGCAAAAAGTAAGATGTCACACTCAATGCTACTTAGTTTTCAGTTGTCCTTCATATGGTGTGGAGCATGTTGGCATGATTTTGACAAATTAAAACACCTACAACAGGAACATTTTTCTATTGAAATGAAGTTGTCCAAATGAGATCTCAAAACTACATGTATGTCATACATTCTTATAAGGTTTCGTACATCAAGGAGTTGGGACCAACCTTTTTCTGGTTGGTCAGATAGAACCTGAACTTCCAGACAAGGTCCTGTTCCTCTAAGGACATGGCCTTGGTTGGTGGATACCCCAGTATCAGCTGCAACAGAAGACATCCAGATTGTATAAAAAAGACAAACCCCTGACAAAGAATTGATGTGAATAAAACTTCAAAAGCTGATCACTTTCCACTTTGACTTTGTCATAAGCTTCTATTTAAATCATAACTTTCATAGCCTACAAGTGTTCTTAACTAATTGCTAAGATTATTCAATACAATGATTCCCTTGAATAAATACAAGAATATCTAAACAAAACATTTCCAGCAATTAGGATTCATTAGATTCTCTCTATAAGTAATGCATAATTTCTGTTTTTCACCCTGAACACCTACATTGAGTTGATCTCTGGTGGCAGCATTTGGCTTGAGATCCTTGTCTGACAGACCACTGCGCACACTGCGGGCCAGTTTGTGGTGCTTACTCTCCACCAAGTTCTCCTGTAGGGATATCATCATGTTGCATGGAGGGTACAATGATTTGTCTCAAAAACAATATATAGCTAAAACAGAAACTTGCTTGCATGCATTGTGACCACTGTATTACAATAATTTACATTGCCTAACCATATACATGTACAATAGCATGATCATAACAAATGAGGTGTAATCTTAAAGAAAAATACACATGATTTCCAAAAATATAACACAAAAATAGCCCTGGTCTGCACCCATGAATGGACAATCACAACAAACAAAATTTCATTGTGAAGAGAAATAAACAAGTTTTTAAATAAACACACACAAGAGTATTATGCAATTAATTGGATATTTACAGGGACAATATGAAGAACAGAAATAGAGTTTCTAAACTTTTTGTGCTCAGTTTAGACCAACCTACCATCAGCATTTCTGGGTCGGGGACGGTTACTATTTCTGCTTGAGTTCTGACCTGCAATGTGTCATCAGCACCCTGTTCAAAAGAAGATCAAAATTCATCAACATGTCATGCTACATAACATGGTCTGGGCAACCAAAAATTTAATAGATCACTAAGGCCACACCAATTTAATTTGTTGCTTCTCGAATTTTTTCAGAAAAAATATGAAGCGACAGGGTGAAAAAAATAAAAATAAAAACAGGTCTAGGCATCCTATTATAGCCCCAAATACAATGATTGGAGCCATGAAGTGAACACAAAAGGCTGGTTAATATTTAAACAACAAATTTTGAACTTTCAATCAAACCACTGCATTGATAGATGGAAAACCTGCAACAACTAAGAAGAAAAGGACTTTCCTCAACTGTTGGGAGCAAAATATGAGCATTTTGTTTAGTTGATTCAGAATCAACCAGAATTTTTTTTTTGCAAATCAGAAAAAAATGAAGAGGCAAAACTGAGAACTGGTGTGGCCTCAACAAAGTCCAAACATACAGGTAAAGGCTTCTACAGTATTGTTTTAACAGTATTATATCAGTAATCTATCATCTAATGAACTGCAGAAGGCTAAAGTCCAAGCACATATGAGTGTAAAAACCTATGAATGATTTGGAATCATTGTTCCAATGTTATATGTGTGTTAGAGTGTGTATATATACATGTAGTGTACATACCTTTTCAAACAAGACAATGGAGTATTCTACACCATCAAAATGGACCAGTGGAAACTCCACCATCAAGTACATGGAGTTGGACTCCCTTTTCTCTTTCTGGGACACAAATAAACAATACACAAAATGTCAGGGGGTCAGTTCAAAGTCTCCAGTTTATTGTTTTAAAATAGCACCAGTTTTGTTTGTTCTGTAGTCTCATCAAACTATGCTACTGTGATTGTATGAACAATGGCAGGCAAATTTAGGCCACTACTGGCATTGTGCAATCCTAATGCTGCAGACCATAAGTTGTGCAGCTTGGATGCAAGTAAATATCACTATAATACTTTTTACAAACAAATGCAGGCGGTGTTTTAGACCCTGAATGTTGAGGTTGACATCTTAATGCTCATAGATGAAGGTGGGTTTGGAAGGGCACATGTACACAGTACATGCCATGGAGTAACACTTATGAATGTGTCAACACATTGCTGCATCTGATATTGAGGAAATAAAATATTATAAATACCCAGGATAGCCCCAGAACAGGAGAAATGTACAAGTCAAGGAAAGCAGCACTTCTTACTTACCTCGTTTATCATCTCTATCTCCCTGAAGGTAAGCCTGTCCAGCCAGTCTACTTTCACCATGTGTCCTTTCCTGTGCTTCTTGGTTAGCTACAACAAAACATGAACATCACTAAAATTGAAGTGATAAAGCCGTTGAATCTTTTCAACCTGGATAAATTGAAATTTTAATACGTAAACATTTCAGGTACCCATCAGTACAAATGTGTTCATTTGTACGGAAGGTACCTGAAATGTTTACGTATTAAAATTTCAATTTATCCAGTTTGAAAAGATTCAACGGCTTTATCACTTTATCTTTATCCTGGATGATTGACCTTCACCAACGTATCACTAAAATTGTTTTGATTGTTTATTCATACAATTATGTACCATGTAATTATGTATTATGTATAATATAATTGATAGAGGTATGTGTAATTAAGTGAGGTGGATTAATGTGACATTATAGTGATTGAGCCAAAAATCATTGATATACAATGCTAACACCAGGCACATTTTGTATTTATTTAGAAAAAAACATATTCCATGTTTTATAGATCTTTATAAACAAGACAGGGAATGTCATAAGCTTTGTGATATTTAATCCACTGCTGACTCACTCACATTGCCTATCTTCATCACTGAGTGATGCCAAAGCAGTTGGATTATATAGGATAATGATGTATTTGCAGATGCAAAATGTACCACCCATACCTTTCCTAGTCTTGTCATCTGGTCATCATTGTTGCTGATCTTGCCTGGTGTCTTACTGGGCTCACCACCATCTGACTCCTGGTCAGGCCACACCCGCAGGTCATGCATGCCTTGTCGGAACATCCTGCGCCACACCCAGAGAATAAGGGAAAGAAAACTTGCTGGTATATGTGGTCAAGGTCTGGTTGTCCACATGGTAAATTTGGGCTTTTCTACCATGTAGGTCACAGGAAACAGTAAGCCCTTTCTGCTAATGAAGCACATTAAGAACTACGAAAAAAAATGTTGTATTTCCGGGTCAGTAGGTAGGGATTATCTTCTTTTTTCTTTCTAAATCTTTTTTAGACTTTGGAAATCTCTAGTGATCCAACTTATAATTGTACACAGTTAACAAAGTAAAACTTGCATGACTACACCTATATTTTCAATGCCAATGTTAGAAAACCAATTGTACAACATCATCACTCAGGTGTCAGATTATGGAGCTAGAAAGAGTAAGGTGCTTACCCATGTTTACCAAACAAGGTGACAGTGGTGCCTCCTACTGCTAAAGCTTTCCTTGGTCCGTAGATTTCCCACACAGTGAAGGTAACCTGAGCATTCCTGGACAGATCACTGTACTTGAGTGGCAAAGTTATCCACTCATTCCAGCTGGATTGGATGAGAAACAATAAAAAGTTTAGATGCAAAATAGTGTGGACCAGGGACGTTATATTTCATATTATATATATGATATAATATATACATTACTTTACATCGTTTATCTCATTGTTTACCTGATATATGCACGAAGTAGATTTTTAATGCACATAAGATTTTATTGCAGATGTGTATCAAGGCTTTTACAACACCTTTTATGTGAAGCCTGTAAGAAATACTTAATTCAGCCTTGCTCTGGCTGTGATGTATTTTACGACACAAACCATTCATCATCATCATCAGATGTCCTTTGTGTGGTCAAGACTCAAAATGCAGAATCTAGACTCAGGCTCTTGGTGCCCTAGTAGGAATGCATGTTGTGCCCTTGGGAATGGCACACAAATTGCCTTATTCTACTCAGGTGAACATGAGTACAAAGCGTTCCTCCTGGAGGCGACGTAAAGCTGGAGGTCCCATGTTTGAGGAGGGCCACACCTCGACCATGTTATTAAATGTTAAAAAAAACACTGCACTGGTAAGAAGTGTGAGTGAATCAATCCGATGTCTTATGCAGCTTACTGTTAGACATTAATTTTAAGGGCCCTTAATTACGCCTGCTCAGGCTTTTATTTTGACTAACAAGTTATAAATATACAAACAAACAATTTAAATCAAGATGATAATGATGGTACTCACTTCCACCTGGTACTGAATGGTTTGTAGCTGGTTTGAACTGGAAGAGCGAGTGGTTTTCCGTTGGCGAAGACTTGGCAGGTGATATACAGGTCTGAGCAGGTCTCCTGGTACTGACCAGAATATCTCAGCATGGGATCGTCCACCAAAGCTTTGTAACTTTTCCGCTCTCGCTTCCCTTCCAACGTCCCTCTGTTTATAGGCAGTGCACGAACACAGTGAGTTTCGTCATTGGTGTTTTATTGTGTGGCATTGTTGTGTGAATAGCAGTTTATGCCAAATTATCATGACATCCCCGACTAGTATATACTAGTTGACCTAAATAAAACCCAGCTGACCCTAGCTGTATAGCAGTGTAAATATGGAATATAGCGAAAAGTGACATAAGTGCAATCTACACAATATAGTCTAGACATCCTCAAGAATGTTGGGAAATAACTACTTACATCTTCAGCTGTATATTAACGTCCAAATCACAGCTGTAAACGTAGTTTATCCTATCTGTTGCTGATGAATAGTCGGCCATGTTGGAATCTACCAATATTCCAATAAGATGAGGGGTGTGCATATTGTAATCTGCAGTACCAAAATCAATCGATAGGAGTAGCAGCCGAGTTGGCTTCATTGCCTTCGTCAGAAGCACAGGTCTATGGAATCACTTGGCCTTAGTGTGGGTGACTGCGGATTTAACAGAATAACTGTTAAAGGCATGGTTAGACGTTCATGATTTTTGACAGGCACGTTACCGTCGTTGAGACGGAAGTCAAGTGCAAGTATGGGCTTCATACGTCACTGCAGTGGACCTTTTGTGTTTGTCGCATGTTAGCAGTAAATAGATGTTCATGATTTTTGGTAGGCAAGCTACCATTGTAGAGGCCAAGGTCAGGTTCGAAAACGGGCCTCGTGGGGGGTCCCTACGTTGCTGCAGTGGACCTTTGGTGTTAGATATATAAGATCTTCATCCACCAACCTCTGCTTGGATTCAACTGGGGGACAGCTGGTCTCCCCATCTGGGATCAGTTGCTTACAATTGAGGGGCTGTCCTATAACTAGCCTCTACCAGGCTTGGGGAGGCGACTGGAAAGAGTGAAATCGGCCAAATAGAGAGATAAGCATGCCAAGGGAGTTTGTCCGTTGAGAGAACATTTCACTGCACCCCAATAATAATAAATTATGCAAATTAGTCCCTTATTTGAATAAATTATGTCAATTGCTGTGCACCCCTACTAAACTTCCAGATATGGCGAGTAATAAATTCCCAGCAGTTCACCACTATAAAATTGTAGCAATTTCCCATTAATTATACAAATTAGGACTTCATTTACATAATCAATATCTGCCAATGTTATGTTAGTATTCCAAACTCCATGTGAAGGTGTGCTGTCAGCTCCCACATCGGTTTTCCCGATTTTTGCAGGGGGGGGGGCTTTAATGTACGCACCCCGACCTTGTGACGGAGATTCCCCAGAATATGAAAGGCTAGGTGACAGATTCAGTAGGATGAATACTGTATTAGGTATGAACATGTAGGTAGAAAAGAGATGGTATGAAGTAGTATACATGTACATTAGGGTGATATCCAGTAGGATAATATATACAATGGGGCATGTGCATAATGTGTCAAAGAGGTATGATTGAACCGCCTTGAATGTGTTCAGAACATCTACTTTGAGGATTCTCTCTTCCTCCCGCTCACATATAAACACACACAATAACAGGATAATGCTTTATTCCAAGCTGTATCAAATATAAAATTACATCCAATGTCACAGAATTATTGCATCAAAATCTCTCCATTGCTCAAGTGCTCAGCTTCATCATAAACAATTAACGATAATGTAAAGCCCAAAACGTATCATGACTAAAGTCTTCCACACTGTCATGTAAAGGACAACACTGTTGCCTCTTGCATACAATAAAATGGGCAATTTAAGGGGGTAAACTCCACGCTATCTCTGTCGTGTTTTCCTTATTTGCATCAAAATGTTTCGTTGATTACAAAACAATTAAGAGTGATAGAAACATCTACATTACCTTTGCATAAAAACCCTTATTTCCTACTACTAATACTAGATTATGTTAAAAGGCATATATTTTCCATTTTCAATATGAACAACATTTTTTTCCTACTCTTGGAATCCCTTGGCCTGATTGACAATATTTTGCACTATCATGCTGCACGTGCGTGTCCTGATATATGCAGAGATTCAGGCCACATTCAGATCTAGGCTTTTCAGTCCAAAAATGCACCAATACCTAAAATTATGCTGTTATAGATGTGCTGTTCATCATAAAAATCACTTCCAACTTACTGCAGCAGTCATCAGATTTCTCTGAAGAAATTCTTCCCTGCCTGGCTGTATCATTACCGAGCATTTTCATCAATTGTGTAAATGTAAACATAAAATCAACTTTAGAACTACTGTTGAATCATATGTGACAATACAAGTCTCTCTTTAGCATATAGCACTTGAACAGAGAAAATGGCAGGGGTTCAGGTATGGCCTGTTTGTTCCTTTCAAGGGTTGACTTCTGACCCTGGCTTGCACTTGGTCAGGGCATGCTGCACAGCCTTATGGGAATGGTCCCAAGGCATGATGGTCATGTACTCATCCAGAATGAGTGTGTGGTGTTTTCTGGTTTCTGCAGCCACCGGTGCTCTGTCACCCATCACCAACACCTGGGAATCTGGAGGAAAGACAGAGCTTTGTTAAAACCTGTTCATGTTAAGATTCACAGTACTACATGTATATATCTGGCATTATGATCAGCTGTGTCAAAATAAAACCTGGTATCATAGTTCAAACTTATCATGCAGCAGCACACAACATGTGCACTGGACAAAGCCATTTTCTGATCGACTTTGTGTTGTTCCCCTACGTGACACCCACCGACTTCAAGTTCCGAACACTGGCAGTCCGCGCCCATGTCGATGTAGACGGTGTGGTGGGGTGCAGTGCTGTTCACATCCTTCAGGTCCTCTGCAATGCGTGCCTCATGTCCATCTCTCCCTCTGTTGGTCTTCATTCTGTAGGCTGCAGAAAACAAGAAGGAAAATTTGTGAGGGATGTATTCCAGGCAAATTGAAGTGGGATAAAATGCTAACAATGGGCCGTTGATATTGATTGACTCTCTTACTTTGTCAAAGATATTCTCTCTTACTACATCAGTTTAACTTGCCAGAATTATTGATTGCTCACCGTATGTTGAGCCGCAGAAGACCTTGCTGAAATCCTCCTTCTTGAGAAGACAAGTGGAACAGCCTTGGCGCTCGGCTGGTACGCTATCAGGGAACACTGGTACAAATAAACACAATCAAGAACTTTCTTCATGAAAGTGGTGTCTGTGCTGAGGACAGCAGGGCTTCATCTTTCGACTAATTCACACACAGAACAGACATCACCACAAGAGATCAGAGATTTCAGACTTTCCCCTGCTGGCTACTGGCCAGATTTAAAGACATTTCTCATTCTTCACCCACCCACCTACTCTAGATCTGGACAGATAGACAAACCCACATTCTCAGCCACCCAAAACAATACTTCCTGGTCAAGAGATGACTACTTACATGTTTC